GCAGGATTGGCCGTCCTGGGATGAAGGACTGGCCCTTCCCGGGATGCAGGATGGGCCCTTCCTGGGATGAAGGACTGGCCCTTTCCGGGATGCGGGATGGGCCTTGCCGAGCCGCAGGATGGGCCTTCCTGGAATGCAGGATGGGCCCTTCCTAGGCTGTGGGACGGGCCCTTCCCGGGATGCAGGACGGGCCCTTCCCGGACTGCGCTCACTTCCAGCTTCATTGCACTAAAACCAGCACAACTTAGACTTTTCCTACATAAAAAAATCCCACTACTGTCCATGTTTGGAATGGGGAGGGGCTGCATTTCGCATTCCATCCCCACTGCTCTCAGGGGAACGCTGATTGAGACCAGAAATAGGAAAGTGCTTCCTTTCCCCTGCTGCGAACCTGCCCGAGGTGGCAGTGAAACGCGCTGGCATCCAGCAGCTCGGGGTGTCCTGCTCGTAGCTGCGCCCGCCGGGCTGCCTGCAGTAACCACAGTGTAACAGTTAGGGCAGAATTTCCCATGGTGCTAAAATAACGCTGTAAAAGTGTAGTGCTTTAGGCAGGGAAAGGCTAGGGGAATTACGTAAGTTGTGGTAGTATTTATAGTAATATTTAGTTATACAAGTCTCTGCAGACATTTATTTTTGCTATTAGTATTACATTTTCCTTTTTTTATAGGCACTTTAGATCACTGTGTAAAGTGTTCTTACGTTTCTTACTTAAGAGATGTTTGTATGAAATGTGTAATAATTGGCTATTAAAATTCTGCTATGATGTAAAAGTCACTGTCTAGAGAAATATAACTGATCTCATATATGCTTGTATGCATGAACTAGTCGAGGGCAGTCCTAAATAGTTTCTCTATATGGTGTGTTTTAAAATCATTTCTGACTGATTAATGAAGTGGATAAGCCTGGAAGCTTGTTGCAGTTTGATTGCATTATTTTAAGGCCCTTTAAAGTGTTTATTGTGAACAATACAAAATAAACTTAGACCACAGCTGTTTCTACATCTCTGACGAGTCACCTTCCATCCCACTGACCTGTTCTCTACTCTGCCAGTGATTCACCAGAGCAACATGGATATTCATTAAGTATATTTTTATTGTTCACATCCTCATAGTTGTATAATCATTGCAAGCACAAATCAAATGTAAGAGCCTTTTGCTTTAGTGAAAGGGATGTCTGGAATACTGGGGATGACTGTGTTGTATGCAGGGGAATAGTGGGTGTTTCAGTTTTGGAACGTAATGCTACACTGTGATTAACATACAGTTAAACTGGGATTCAGCAGCTCCATCATGTGTTGCTTTTCCGTCTAGTCGTGACGAACGTGCCTCCTACTGCAGAACCCAACCTCTTTCTGTAAAGATCTGTAACTTTAACCGCTGATCTAAGGCATACCACTTGAAAGAAAAATACGTAACGTCCTCCCACAGCTACACAGGCTTTTTGCCTTTTGCTCTTTCACGTCTAGGCTGGAAAGCTCTGAGCAGATATTTCGTTTACGCATCTCCTAGAAATAGACTCAGCTGCTCCAGTTCTTGCGCGGCTGCTGGAGCGGAGGGTTGCTATAGGGATCGGTTGTCTTCGGGAGAGCAGAGTCAAACAGTTCCACAGTTGCAGACTTCTGCCAAGAGCTTCACGGAGTGCAGACAGGCGCTTTTCATCTTCGTGGTGTCTAGCTGTTTTTGAAATGGCAATTAGACAGACACGGAGCAGCTACCAGGCTGTATAGCATCCAAGCTAGAGGAAAGTGCTGGTTTTTTTCTGGAGAATTGCAGGCTTTCTCCCTCAGCTTATCTCCACTTACATCTGTCAGATGTCCTTATTGTAGCTGAGAAATCACTCGGTTCTATCCCCTGCTTAGCCAGTTGCCCAGTCTGTAACCTGATATAAGCTTCTTATAACTTTCACACATTAAGCCAGATAAATTTGTTTGTGCCTGTTGGTCTAACAAGAATGTATTAGCACCTCACTCCCATTTTGAAAATCCCACAAGATGCTTGACTGTATCCTTAGGAGCTCATATGCCCCTGAGGATGAGTTGCTTCCCCAGTGCTTTAGAATAGTGATATGAGGGATTAGGTGACTTGTATTTTTAATTTGTAATTTTTCATAAGTAAGCAATGGTGTGCAATTCAGATAACACAGTGTTTTTGTTTGCTGCAGGTACTGTCCTTTGTGATCCCCACAGAGCTTCAAAGAATGACACAGAAGGTGCTTCACAGGCTCTTCCACACACGGTATTTCACTTTTTTTTTTTTAACCTTTTTACATTGTTTTTTGCTAATGTTTCTGGGAGTAAGCTTCTTCCTGCTTCTTCTGTCAAATTTTTTGCTAATGTTTCTGGGAGTAAGCCTCTTCCTGCTTCTTCTTCTGCTTTCCTCTCCTCCTGAAATATCCTGTCTTTGTCAGGAGTACCTGCCTGGGAGTACAGATTCCCTTTGAGGTTTGATGCACTTTTCTCTTGCTGTTCCTCGTTTATGTTTGCCAAGTGTTTGAATAGATTTGAATGGGCTTTCAGTCTGCCCCGGGGGCTATGGGAACACCCTTCCTTTGGGGATGCAGCGGCTCTAGCACCACGTGCAGTTTCGGGGTGCAGCACCCGCAGCTGCTGAATGTCACTGTGGTTTTGTTGCTGCGGTTCAGACCCTCTTGTGTTAAGTTAGCACAGCCCAAAAGGCAGCGCTGCCAAGGCTGCTGTCGGCAGCAGAGCAGCTGCCTGATGAAGCTGCACAAAAATACACAGTGCTACTTCTTGAAAACTCCTAATATCGGTGCTTATCAGACTGACTACAGTGCAGAGAACTGTGGTGAGTGAGCCCTGCTCCCCCAGGTGTGGATCATCTGAGCCCCTACCTCTTGGCAGGGCTGCTGAAGGCTGTTGTTCAGTGCAGTGCACCCCAGACAGACCCGCATGCCAAACATTCCTGCAGCTTCTCCAGTAGAAGCTACAGTCTGTTTCCAGGTTGGAGTTGTTCACTGTTGCTGACCTCCCACCACCCTTCCTTTTGTAGTGGCTGCTGAAAGGATTATTGTTACTGTTTTTTAACATTACCTTTTAGTGGGATTTTTTTTTTCTTGCTTTCAGAGCAGCACAAAGCAAATGTCTTCTGGCAGAATGTTGCATGACCTATTGCTGTGGCATCTTTGGGCAGCATAAAGGGATTACGAGACTTTGCACTTACTGCCTGACGGAAAAAAATTCAAAGAACAAACCAATAATGGAAGTGAATTTAGCTGGAAGAGTTAAAGGGCTGTATGTCGGGAAAAAGGGAGGGAGCAGCAGTTGGCTGGAGAGATTCCTATTAACAGGCAATCCATGCTGAGGTGGAACACCAGCAGAGGTGCTCCCTTGCGTTTGGGAGTCCTTGCTGGTCGCTGTGAAATGCACTTGCTCTGTTACTCTTGTATTAAATACAGTGTCGCCTTCCTGTTACAGAAGCTGTTTGTTTGTCGTCCTGCATCTAGCCCTGCAAGCAGCAGTTTATGGTGAATACACGTGGGAAGTGTTCAGCTACTGCTGGGAGCTGGAGATTCCCATCCCTCTCCTGCTGCTGCCCTTCCTGCTGCTGCCTGCGAACATGGGCTGCTTCGTGCTCTGCTCTCGGGCCGATCCTGGTGAGCTCGCCCTGGCTGCTCCTTGCACCCATTTGAAAATGGAATCTAAGAAATGTTACAAACGCCAAGTACTTGCTGGATTTTTTTGTGTGTCTCCTGTGACAGTTTTGTTTCTTTCACAGGTATAATAACAAAATCAAATCACGCGTCATTGATCAAGATTTATGCATATGATGCTGTCTTGTTTCGGAAAGGTATCGTGTGCCCTACATGCAACATGGAGAAACCAGCCAGATCCAAACATTGTGGTAAGAATCTTAATTTCTTGGTTGTAATAGTAACTAATAATACTTTGGAAATTAACTTTCCATGAGCAACTGTAGTTCACACATTTTACCATTATAATAGATAAAACATGACCATATTTCTCTTTTTCTTGGATGAAAAACTAATTTATACGGTCTAAAAATGATACGGATTGCCCAAAAGCCAGATAACTGGACTATCTTGTCACTCACTTTCCATCAGGTTTATGCAATATCTGTGTGCATCGTTTTGATCACCACTGTGTGTGGGTCAACAACTGCATAGGTGCCTTCAACACCAAGTATTTCTTCCTCTACCTGTTCACACTGACTGGGATGGCCGCAAGCATCGCACTCATCACAGGAGCATTTCTCCTCCAAGTGGTGCGGCTGTCAAATATGATGCATGGAAGTTACATTGATGAGCAAGGACAAGAGCAGGCTGTTGACATCCTCTTTCTCGTTCAGGTAAGTAGATGCTCTCTGAGTTCTTAGCCAAATAAAAAGGCTAATCTCAGCATTTTCTTTCAGGAATCATTTAAGTCCAGATGTTTTCAGAGACAGAATGTGGGTAGATTGTGGTTGGTAACTGGTTTATATACTTAATTAAGTTTAGAAAGCTGAGATGGCAGAATACTTAAAAGATGCAGCGTTTTTCTACCAGCACTGCCTCCTGCTCTCCTGTTCTCTGGAGTTTTGTCTCCAGACTGCTTTTACTCAACACATCTGACCCATAAAGAACGGCTTTACATTCCAGTTACCTTCTACTGCAGGAGCATTTGTTAAACACTCTACAGTCCTTGAGACACGCTGGTGAGGATGGCAAAGCAGGACCCAACTGTCGTGGAACTGAGATATTTGAATGTTCTCTCTCCTTTATAAACAAATGGTGTCTTTAAGTCACGGTAGCGTTTGAGTCACTTGTATTATGACCTCCTCACTCTTTCTGTAACATGGAAACAGGATGATAAGCAGCAAAATCTCCAGTGTTAAACACAGGTATTCAGAGATATGTACATATAAAAAATACCTCTGCATTGTAGCAAGTTTTGGGAAGGAGTATCTGGAAATCTACTTACTTTACTCAAAGATCCGATGAGGAATGTACCATCACTGACCTGGATGGAGGATGGGGCTGGGGCCTTTTTCCTGGGGCTGTGCAGTGACAGATGTCTATGTCCTCTCATTCAGGTGGCCTGTCACAGCAGCTCCCATCTGATTTAGTGCTCCAACTTTTAAACTAAGTTATTATTTTCTTTCTTTGCAGCACCTTTTCTTGACTTTTCCTCGGATTGTCTTCATGCTGGGGTTTGTTGTTATTCTTACTCTCGTGCTGGGAGCATACTGCTGTTTCAATCTATACTTGGCCTTAACCAACCAAACATCCAACGAGTGGTATAAATCGAGAAGAGTTGGGTGTTCTCCCCATGTGACAGCGCAGCCTCAGGACAGGCGAGTTGTCTACAAAAATATTTATTCTAACGGAATCTGGATGAATTTAAAGGAAATCTTTAAGCCTCTTACAGTATTGGGAAAAAAGAAGAGAACATGAAGATACTACTCTTTAAATATGCCTATTTTTATTTTTTTTTTACTTTTTTTTTCTAAAAAGACTATTTCAGTGGTAAGCTTTGTGGTCACAAAAGATTTTTGTAAAAAACTATTGTATTTCAATTAAGTATTAAAATGGAATAAATGGAATGTGCATTTTATAAAGCTGACTAGTCCTCATGAATCTAGGGTCCTTGCAAATTTGCCTGCAACACTCCCCAGGCTGGTGGTGGCCATGAGCTCCGAGTGTCCTCAGAGGCCGCTGCCACAAGCAGCAAGCTGTGCTGCTAGGCTCAGCTAGCAAACGGGAGACGCTTCTTAAACACTTTTATTTTTACAGGTAATGCTTGTGAACTGCATGACACGTGCCACTGCATAACAGAGTGAGCTCCTAGGCTATCCTAGGGATAGGGGCGATTCCTGCTGCAGCGCTTCCAAGCCTGGAGCTGGTCCCGCAGGAGGAAAGGGGCAATGTTTCCTGCACAGGTTTGTCAGCCACTCACATCTCGTTTCCCCTGCAGGACAACAGCTCACAGCTGACTGCCGTATTCTGATTGCAGAAGAGCAGCTGTTTAAAATACTTAATCCCACGGTTTTGGGGAGATCTCTGACATTAAGATCAGTGTTCTGTTTCCTTGTTAGAGGAGGGACTTACAGTGAATTTGCTGGTATGGAGCAAGAGGTTTCCAGCTTACTGAAGTGAATCTTTTTCTGTGTCTACACTAACAAGGGAAGAGCTAACAAAGAAAAGAAGAAATGTTTCATCTTTTTGTGAGTACCCTTACTTTTTGCAAATGATTAAGCCATTACTGTTAGCAAGGTTTGGAATAAGTTACAAGTGTTTAACTGAAGGAACATGATTACTGGGAGAAATCTTAGCCTGTGGAATCTATGTTGTTCTACTTCAAATTCAAACTAGAATAGAACATGTTGATTTCAGAAAGGAATACAGTAGATCTGCTAAATCTTTTTAACACCCATATTCAGCTCTTCCAAAATAAGATTCCATTTCAGCTTTGTAAAGCCATCAGAATGGTAGACTTTGGACAATTTCAGCATCCTGAGAAGTAACTGTAGAGATAAATAATCCTGGCAGGTTACAAACTTAATCCTTCTGGCATTCCTCATCTTCATTCAGGTGTTTAGCCCCTGTTCTTGCTAAGAAATGCAGCCACTTCTCAGGTGTCTGTGTTTTGGCAGTTTTGCTGTAGCAGAAACCAAGGCTTTTTCCTAGTGCTGCCTGCTTGCAAGGACTGGATGGGCCCCTTTAAAAGGGAAAAGGTAACACAGCCCTCCTGTCCTGCGCTGTCATTGCCGGTGACCTCCAAAAAACACCTCCCCCTGTGCCTCAAGAAAACCATCCACCTTGAGGGTGGAGGACAAGGAAGTGATGGCTGTGCAGGAGACCTGCTGAAACCCCTCTCGTTTCCACTACAGATGGCTGTAAAGTTCTCTGGAGTGTAGAAAGTTGTGGTGGTTTTGTGAAAACCTGCATGTGGTTGACTTGCCCGCTAATTAAACTAGAATGATTCTCTGGGTCATACTCAGACAGTAGAAAATAGAAAAATATAAGAACTTTAAATAACTTTATTTTTATAAATGCATTTATTTACATGCCAAATCTGTACAATATACAATTAAAAATCTGTATATGATTAAAAAAAATTCATGTACAGTATGGCTTTACACACCACCAGGCTAGCTCTCAGAGCAGCCTGCTTGGTATTGCAAGGGTACAATGATGCAATCTTTGTAAACCAGTACATAAGGCTAGCTGGCCAAAAAACAAACAAACAAACAAAAGACAGAAATCTGCAGTACCATGCCTTGGGAGGACTGAAGTAGTGAGGTTAGAGGCAGGAAAGGCTTCAGGTGTCGGTGAACTCGCACCAGAAGTCCTTAGGTTTGGTTTTCCTGTTTCAGTGCATATGATTAAGCTAGTGTAGTCTCTCGGGAGACACAACATCCTTGTTTCACTTTCTGAATTCTTTTGAACACCAGAGCACTGCTGTCCCGGGCTCAGGGCAAGCGCTTTGCGAAGGACAGTCTTTATTGGAGGCAGCCGTACAAAACCCCGAGTCAGGCTGGCAAACGTGACTTAGCAGTCCCTTCCCCAGCATAACCATGCACACGTAGCTACTGTTACTCCCATTTTAAACAGAAAGTATTTCTGGGCCTCACCGTGCTGTGGAGCCATGTGGCTATGGAGCATCCACTCCCTTGCTCTGTGGAAAAAGTGTAAGGTCCAACTGAGGACTGATCACATTCCCCAAAAATGGAAAAACCGTCCTGGTGGGCAGGGCTGGCGCTGCTCGTCAGACGATCACAGTCTGCACCTCCACCTCCCCCTCCTGCGAGGCGATCACAAACTCCCCCGCGTGCTCCATTATTTCGATGTCCTCGGACGCCACCATTGTCACTGTGGCTTCCTGCGCCTCGATGCCCCCCTCGGTGGTGAGCACGGCCCCCTCGCCGATGGCAGACGCCAGCGTCATCGCCACCTGCTCCGTGAGGCTCTCGGGGGTGGCGATGGTGATGGTGTCCGCGGCGTCCGGGCTCACGGCCGCGTCCTCTGCCACAGTAACGTTCTGCACGATGATCTGGTGGCCGGAGTTGGCTTGATTTACTATTTGTTGCACAACCTTCATAATGTGGCTGTCAACCTGCGCTCAGAGAAAAGAGGCCGCATTATTTCACTACTTGTTGCAACACATTAAATATACAGAAAATTATCATAGGTATAAAGAGTTATGATGACAAATAGTGCAGTAAAAAAGCAGCGCTGAATTCCAGTGAATTAACTGAAGCCCTTGTTATCACCCCAAGACAGTCCTAGAACGCGTTGTACCTTGTGTCACTTAAGGTGTTTTGTCAGGAGGGTGTTTCTTCCACCAAGTCAAGCTTTGTTCCATAGTGGCATCGTGACAGTGCACACCCAGACATGCAAACTTGATGAACCAGAGTTAGGAAACAGCCCCACTCTGGTTCTGCAACAACTGTGCTGATTTCTCTAGAGAATCGTGGCACAAGGTTCTGCTACCTGGCAAGTAGCCTCCTGTGCATTAGCCACCACTGCTGAGAGGAAATGGGGCCACAGCTCGGGTAAAACCCCAGGTGGCCAGATTGTTTTTACAGAGACAGGTTTGCAAAACTACAGTTGTAGTTCAAGTTGTAGGTCAAGTTGTAGGACAGTTGTAGGTCAAAGACAGGTTTGCAAAACTACAGTTGTAGGTCAGGTAGTTACCTGAGGCTGGGTTTACTTAGCATGACTTTCAGACAGTAAAAGCAATTCATTTCATCTATAGAGAGGTCCCCAAAAGAGTAGTCTACGCATCTACTTTACCTCGTGTCTTGTTCCCTCTATTATTTCAGCAGCTTCACTGGTCTCCATGTCTTCAGTAGCAGTCTTGAAATACAAAATAGGATTCCTTTTTAGATTATAAAAAATCTTTTACTTCCAAGATATAAGGCAAGTAAGACTTCTACAAAAGTCTTCCTGTTTCCCCCATTATACAGTAACTTCTCTAAAGACAATTCCCTGCAAATCCTGTCATCAACATCTACTTAAATATAATGCAGAGCGCTCACAATGCAGAAAACGTCCTCTCTCAGCAAAACCTTGCCAGCTGGCAGATTCTGCTCCTACTGCTAGCAGCCACCCTGTTCCCTAGGGCAGTACTAAAGGACTCAGCAAATGCCCTGCGTTACATCCTGCACGGATAGGAGCTGGCCCTGTGGCACAGGGAGGGCAAGAGGGAGATGCACCATTCAGCTGCTGCTGGCAGCCACAGCCTGTTATAAACAACTGAGTTTATTGTGGACAAAATAAGCTAAATGGCGTCAGGAGAAGAGGCTAGGTGGAAGTTGAAGCAAATGTCTGAGGGAAGAAAATCAGGAATAGTCTGAAGTTTGCAGTGTCTGAACCTTCTGGTTAATTGTATCGATCTTCCCTGCACTGTTTTTCCTGCGTATGCGACATGCAGGACTTCAGGAGGGACGGGAAGGATGCTCCAGGTGGCCTCTCTCTGAGCAAAATTACTCCTGCCTTTTTCCTGGGATCACACAGGCAGGGATAGCACTGCTTAGATCCTGTTTTACCTTCTCCCAGAAGCCCAGATGAGGAGTGTGCAAACCTGTGCAGCTTTTAATTAACAAGACACCACAACTGTCTGCCCTGCTGCTTACCTCGATGATGTACTCCTGAGTGTCTGCCACCACTGATGAGAATTCCACCAGAACTGTATGAGGATCTTCAGAAATGACCGTTGCAGCTAAGTTGTCGGCTGACTGACTCTCCTCAGGCACCATCACTTCTTTAACCTCCTTCAAAGCAAGCAGGCAGCCACCTGAATGGTATTCCCAAAATACCAGAAAAACAAGATTTTTTTTTTTTTGAACCGAACCAGATACTAGGAGTACCTGTCAAATACTGTGCAGCACTAGTGAGATGCCTTTATCAGAATGACACTGTTGAACGACCAGCAGTTAGATGAGTCTCTAACCCTACTAACACAGGCCAAATAATGGCCTGGAAGAGGCCCATGCGGCACCGGGCAAAGCAGTGAGCCTCAAGCAGAGCACCCATACGGGGCAATTTCAGTAAATACTCGACTAAACAAAGGTAAACAAAGAGCATGGACGACGGTCACTAGACCTTTTCCAAGCATGTGACACCCCCCTAAGAAATGCTGACGATTCAGTCCAGCTTGTGCAGCCCAACATAAAAGCCCACGCGCCGCCGCGTCCCACCTTTGGTCTTGAGGTGCCTGTTGAGCGTGCCGTGCTCGGCGAAGCCCCGGCCGCACTTGTAGCACTTGAAGGGCTTCTCGCCCGTGTGGTGGCGGATGTGGCGCACCAGCGAGCCCTTCTCGCGGAAGCCGCGGGTG